TACTACCTAACGTTATCTTTGACGTCTCCTCAAACACAAAACTCCAAGCAGTCTTGTACGATGTTGGTGTATGATGGTGGCCATCTGATACATGAAAGCAGCCTCCTGTCCCAGAAACGAGGCCTCCTAATATACCGCGTGCCTCCAAACCCATAACAGTGACCTCGTAGTTCGTAACGCCTGTCGGCCGGGGGATGGGGACGATGGAGGTGAGCGCTTCTCCCCAGTACCCGCCGCTGCGCCGCCCCTGGCTGCAAATGAAATGTTTGCAAACATTTCTAGCACGCGTGGCGACGCAATGAAATACCATCACACTTCCACATCCTCCCTACTCCAAACATGACCATGACCCACGGTAGCGACCTACACTAACATCGAGACATTCTACTGCAACCGAGGAGCTGACCCAACATGCATAACATCGACGCAAGCAAATTGAAGGAGCAGTCGCATTCAATGAAATTAGACAATCATATCACTTCGTGTGACTTCCATGCAGTAGGCTGTGTTTGGTACCTGGACTTTTCATGCTAAGGTTTAGAGCCAACTTTGGCTTGATCTTGTGCGGAGAGCAATATAAAAAAACGCATGCGGACGAAGCACCCAGGCGCACTTCTCCTTCAATCTCGCCCCAAATGTGGCTGCTGCCATCCTCACAATGTGCGTGGCATTGAGTTTACCGCCAGCACACCGCACCCGGCCGACCCTACTGGAGCTTTGGTGGAACGAGGTCAACAACGCCGCCAGCACAGGAATTCCTGACTCGGCATCGCAATATTTACCTCCAACCGCCGCAAAAGAACAACAGCGAACCCGGGTAGCAACTGCCATCTCAGCACCGCCTGAGCGTAGGACGACGCTGGGAGCGCACCGGACGGCACAGCCGGCTCCGTGCGGATCGGCGGCGCCCTGTAAGCGGCCCTCGGCCCCAAGACGCATTCAGTGGCATGCTCCCAAGCAGGAATCCGTCCAGTGTGTGGGAGGAAAGGATGGCGCGTCGGGGACGGGGGCAAGAAACACATTCTTAACTACATGGACCAGCCACAGAGTGCAGGTCCGGACAAACACACATCTCTGTAGCTGACCATCCCGGGCCGTCCTCCGTATAGTGGCTGCCGGTGCGCGAAAGCCGTTCAATAAGCCACGAGGGCTGTGCGTGTGCTTCCAACGTCCGCTCCCTTGCAAACGCGGCGCGATCCGGGCTCTGCCGTCGCCCGCGTGATGGCCGGGTCCATCGGATGGCGCGGCGTCTCGCTGGCGGCGGCCGCACTGCGCTCCCCGACTGTCACTGTCGCTCTGGAGCCGCTCCTGGGTCAACGGTGACGACCTATGCCAGCGGGGACTCGCAGTTGCCTCCATAGAAGCATGGTCTGACCTCATAAAAAGGTCAAACATGGGCAGCATGACCTTTTGTTACCGCGTTTTTCTGCCACGCATCGCGAACAGCTTGTCGTACCCAACACGAAGAAAGGAGCAGACTACTGACCGGATAAGGCTATCATCAAGATAGGGCCCGTGCGCTGGTGTCTCGCACGGGGAGACAGGTCGGCCCGGACGTCCCCGTGTCGTGCCTCCCAGCGCTGGCGGACGCACGCGCCCACCAGACGGACGGACAACCGACGGCGGCGGCAAGCAAATGGCAACTTGGAAATGTCGCACAGCGATCAAATGTCTCCCTTCAAAAAGCTGTCACAAGCTATTAGCCGTCAATTACTGGCTTCTAAAAACTACAGCTTTAACCTCACCGCTTGTCTCAAGTCATCCCCAGTGGACACTTCTCATATGCAGGAGCAGGGACGGACGCACAAGCCGTGACAACGGGCACTCACGTCCTCGGCAGCAGGTGCCATCCCAATAATAGTCCCACGCAGCTGGCCGATCGGCGCACGCTCAGCAGCCGTATGGGGACGGCCCCGAGCTGTCGCCGCCCGCCCGCACCGCCCGGCTGGCCCCTGTCCCATCCACCGACAACCACCGACAGCGGGGGCATCACACAGCCAGCAGGACCCATAGTGAAAATACGAGCCGTGCCAATGCCACGGAATGCACTGGATAAACACGGTGAACGTCAGTTCTTATGCTGAACACGATATGCCCGGAGGCTTTACGTGTTGGCATTAGTCGTGCAAGCAGTCTACCATGCACTTACTCATTTTCCCCTGAAAACCAACACTTACAACTATCCCACTATGCAGACCACCAAATGCCAAGTGGTGACTACACAGCATGCACGATCTACAGAAGCGTGAGAACTGGTGTGTCTTGTTTAAGGTGGATGGGGAGCAGTACTGTCACCAGCTGGGAAGTCCCAGACCTCTTCAGTCTGAAAGCCAGAGCCCCCCCCTCCCCCTCCCCCATCTAAACTTGACAGAGACTTGACACCCCCTCTCGACATGACTTCTTATCATCAGATATCATGTTTATAAAAACTGAGCAATGCTATACAGTAATATTTTCATCATTGTCAAACCTAAGGACACTGAATATTTGTATAATGTACTTCTATACCATTTTCTATCTTGTTTTAACCCATACCATCCAGTAAATTGTGAATAATATGCTCCCAGAATACAAGACCATGTGAAAAAATCACATATTTTTCACCTACATCACACAGTAGCATTTAGGTATGAAATAACTGGAGAAAAGGAAAGATAGACACCTTCATTGAGAGATTGCATTACTGCCTGGATATGATGGAGTGAAGAATGCTTCATTTGAACCAGTACCAGCCCACATGTAAAAGTGCAAATGCAGACAAAATGCAGATATCTTAAAAAGACAATGAAGGCCGCAGAAAACGGCACTATCCTGGTATGGCTCCCTGATCCATTTTATGGCCAGGGCAAACCAGTTGACAGTGGTACCTTACTAGAGAGCAGTCTAACAAACTGGTAAGAAGTTGTTGACAACCCTGCATGCCATGGGGTGTGGGCCATCTTGACTTATCAGTGTTGGTCAGAGTGCTGTCAATGAGTCTAGAGCAAAGCTGTTTGCTCCAGGAGGAACACCAGACTGAATGGTCCATTCAAAGACAAACCATGCCTGCAGGCCCACTGCTGTCAGCACTGGTTGGCACAACACTTATCCTGTGACAGGCTTGAAAACAAGCTTAACATGCAGTCTTCCTACCACATTGGCAACATTGACATGCACATTGGCAGCTGCAACAGTGAAGTGATGATATCAAATGGCATCAGGGTAACACAAAATGTTAAAAACTTGCCTGGTATCTGGTAGAAGGGAAATGTTGCTATGTAATAGGATCCATAGGATGAGTTATTGAAATACAAAAATGAAAAAATCAAAGAAACATAAAGGTGTGATGAGTTTAATCATCATCAAACACACCTTAGGAATATGTGTCTGTGCATCCCTGCTTTTGCACATGTGTGAACAAGATCATATTATGCCCAAGAGATGGGACAGAAGTGAAAGGCACATAACTCGTAGTACCACTTGCTTTGTGACTTCTGAATGTGGGAGATGCTTGCAACATGACTGATTCCAAAGCAAGATTCACCCAGGCTACCCCCATATGCCATTTCGTATTTTGCCTATTTTCAACATGAATTCAGATAAAACACCAAAGATAAAGCACACTGGCTGTGATACATGACAGAACTTGGATGATGCTGGCCAGAATAGCTGGGAGTGGGGAAATTGTCTGGTGGTGAGAGCAGGGAGGGCAAATGCAGGGATATTCTCGCACCAGGTAATGTGCTGAAAGGATTTACCATTGCTGGATGGATTAATATTGCATGTCTGTTAACTACTCATGAAAAATTTAAACAATCTCATTTGAGTCAAACAACATGTCACACTGGTGTATATGGTGAGTGGCAGGCCTTTTGCTGCAAATAATTTAAGTTGTAAACACTTTTCTTCTATCCAGAATGATGCCTGCTTCCCACTGCACTCATTGCAATGTCACACTGATTAGAGAGCTGGGTGCTACACCAGCACTAGGCATACAACTGCATGTAATTCTGCACTTATACCTGAGGGCCTCAGATGTATACTGAAATAATCAACATACATAGGGACCATGTGTGAAATATGGGTTGGTATCTTCTCTGTGATGAAGCCAGAACTTTATCCAGGAGGCCAAATCAGGTCATACAAGGCCCTTCCAACCAAACAGACCAATATTGCTACTACAGGGCTTCTGTCTTTAGATTCTAGAGTATTTTTGATACTCAGCATTCCATTTTCATGCAGTGTCTCATTTTCAAGCATAGATCTTCTGATGATTGGACTGCCAAAAGAAGTCTTCAGTATGCAGGGACTCCTGCTACCTCCAGGATGGCAGGGCACAGCCCCAAAAGCTGCTTCCTTGGCCATGCCAAACTCTACTATGTAAGTAGGCAACTGCACAACTGCTAACCATTCATAATTGTGAATTTTGATAATGATGAGAAGTATATGCCTTCTGATAACCTGACCTGCAAGCCATGACAGATTTAAGTGAGATATTCTTGGGGCAGAGGTGGGGCACAACCATTAATATCAGGGAGCTTTTCAAAATTACGGGCAAGATATTATCACACCACACTAATAGGGCATCATAGCATCAATGCCACACTGGAAGAAATTATTGAATTTGACTATTAGGGCACCATGACATGCTCAGCAACATACATCACTGCCAGGATCACAGACAATGACTAAATCTGATGGCAAATCATATTTTGCATAACTGACCCAAATTTGGCTGTTATCTACGCTATTTAGGGCAGCATTCTGTTTGTTCCAAACACCTCATTGACATGTTTGCCGTGGCTTGCTGTCTGGTTGGTGGTCATGGTGGCATTTGGAGCCGTAGAAAACAAGGTAAGAAAATTTTACGAAGTTGCGTTCCAACTCCAAACAAAGCATGGCTTTAATCACAGCCTAGTGCAACACGATTGGGTGCGGACATTTAGAAACCAGTCAACCTGTCAACATCATGCAGATCCTTCCCCCAAACCCCAGGCGTCCTCCATCACTCTGGCACGTACCTTCCAGTTCCGAGGCCAGTGGTGGTATCCAATAACTCCACAGTGACTGATCCCGTCCCCCTCCGATTCCACCACCGCGCACAATCCCCCCAGCTGGGATACTCCCCCTTCTTCGCAATTCGCAAACGCCGAACAACAGTTGTTGCTGTTTTGTTCTTGTTCCGCGCAATATTCGTCAATGGTCCCTTTTCGTCATTCTACCTTTATGAAGTCATCTTTCCGTTCAGTGGGTTAATCTACCCTCTTCCAGTGAAACAGATACAGAATAAGCCGGCTGGGTCATCCGGTTCGGACAAAAGTATCCTATAAGCAGCTGCGATCAGAATGGGTAGAAGTACACCGAAAATACCAGAGTCTACTGAATCCAGCATGCTTTTACGTTCGTCAGTTGCCACCACATTCATATTCAGGTTCAAGTCCATATTCGGGATTCAGCGGACTCCTCAAATTGGCCTGAAGCTTTGCATACATATGCAGTTTAATCTTCTGAGCACAGTGAGTGCAAAATCTTGGACCAGTTCGTCTTATTACCAGATATATATCAATACAAAATATGACAATAAAAAAGGCAGACTGCTTCAATTCTTTCTAAATTCCGCGCCCTGGTAGATATTGACCAACTAATCACGATAAACACAAAATCGTGGACGGGCATGCTGTATCAAAAAAGTTATAGCCCTTTTTATGTCAAGGTCGCCAATCCAGCAGGCATTGTATTTTATCATGTTTGACTCAGGTCATATTGATAGCGATATTCAATTTTCAGCAGATTTGTCAAATTGGCCTGCAAATTTGAATACAGATGCAGTTTGCTCTCCTGAGCACAATGAGCACAAAATCTCGGACCGGTGCGGCCTTTGACCGGAAACATCACAATGTGAAAGAGCACAATAAAAAATGCGGACTTTCAATTCTTTCCAAACTCCGCTTACTGATGGATGTTGACCTACTAATTACGATCAATACAACATTTAGACTGGTACGCTGTATCAGAGAAGTTACAGCCCTTCCAACGTCAAGGTCGTCGAGACAAGATTTGCTTCGTTTTCTTTAAAGTTGAACGTTGGTTGAGGGTCACATTCATTCCGTTCGGCGTGCTCTGTGGGTTGTTATTGCAGATATTCCCGCGGACATTCTGGGTGGGGTGTATTTGGATATATCTTATCGTGGGGAACCCCCAGCTACGTTTACCTCACCTTCCATGTTCCCTGACAGGCTAGACGTATATCTTAATTGGTTTGTTGCCTGGTGCGTTATTATGTTGCTTTGATTTCCAGAGGTAAAGGAGCCGGACCTGCAGACGTCCAGAGGGCTCCAAAGCTCGTGCTGTTTTTGGCTGGTTAATGATCTGCTACCTGTCTTGTTGCTATGATGTACATACCTCAAATGCACCCCTGCCCCAGGATCTGCCCAAAATGCCTTGGAATATCCGGCCACCGGTATGTGAGATTTGTCTTGTTGGTGGGACCTCCACTAATAATCTCACCATGCTGTCTGTCTTGTGATGTGGTTCATGAGCATCACCATCCACCACTGGAAGCCTTACCTTGGGATATGGGTTATGGGCATCAACATCCACTAATGGTAGCCTGGCCTTGTAATGTGGTTTATGAGTGTCACCATCTGCCAATGGTCCCTGCAGGGGCACCGGCTTCGGCCGGTGTAGGGGAGTAGCGACCCCTCGGGTCCCAGCTCCGGTAACGGGTGGACAGCGCAAGCTGTTCATCTCAGGGCGTAGCAACCCTGCCGGTACGTGAGCTCCCGCTCCTTGTCCCGCCCGCTGTCTTCCCATTACCCGCTTTCCTGCATCCGGCCTAGTCATCACTCCTAATCCTCATTTTATCGGGGTCGCCGTGCCCCCTCGCCCGCGTCCCCGGGTTGATCGGATCCTGGTGGCCGAGGGGCGCGTCGTGCGGGCCAGTCACGGCGCGTCCCAGCACTCCACTTCGGCCAGGATATCCCGGGGCGCGGGGGACCCGTGGGGCCCCACACGGGTCCAACGGCTTGTCGCTTGCGCTACGGTTGTGTGCTCCGTGCGGGTCTCCGCTTGGGGCGCTTGGCCGTGCGCAGCGGCTTAAGGGGTCAAGGGGCGGCGGCGCTGAACCACGGTCAGGACGGGGAGGGGCCTCCCCGGATACACCTGGCCGTGTGAGAGGCGTCGTTCGCCCCGTATAGCACTGAAGTAGCTCTGGCGGAACCACCACCCCCTGGGTGAGTGGGCTGTCCCGTAGTTGGGCTCCGAGGTGGGTAGAGAGCCTCGGTGCCGAATACTTACGAATACTACTACTACTACCGAATAACCACACACGTATGACAACTTCAATAAAAAAACACCTGCACCCCGAAAGGGGGGCGGACAAAGAGTACAGGTGGTAGCGTGTCAGCGCCTACCCCTCGAATCTTGATTTTCCGAAGCGCCGAGAAGGCGCTGTCGTCCCTTTCGCCATTTGAAAGGCGAAATGGGTGTGATCGGTTTGGAAAGGTGCTCCGATGCGATCAGCTCAAGGACGGTGGGATCGAGGTCGAGTTTCAGAATGGAGAGGAGGCGAAACGGGCGATGACTTCAGATAGGTTTGTGTATTGTGTGTGGGATGCGGAAGGGAAAAAGGACATGTCAGTGGCGATGACCTTTGAGGTTCATAGGACAAAAAACTCGTCAAAGGGTGTCATCAACAATTTTGACCTGGAAGATGTCAGTGATGAGGAAATAGTCGACGGCCTCGCCGAGTTCGGGGTAACAGATGCTCGCCGCATCAAGGTGCGCAGAGGTGCGGAGTTGGTCTCCACCAACAACATCGTACTGGCTTTTAACCGTCCTGACGCACCATCTGATGTAAGGGTAGGCTATGTAAAGGTGAAGGTGCGCCTTTTTATTCCGAACCCCATGAGATGTTTTAAGTGCCAGATGTTTGGACATACGAGGGATTTCTGCCGTAACCAGCCAGCATGTGGCAAGTGTGCTTCTCCGGAGCACCCGAGTGATCAGTGCACTGCAGCGAGCCCATGGTGTGTGAACTGTGGGAGAAACCAAAAACCTCATTTTACTTTTGATCGTGCATGTCCGGCGTACGCCAGAGAGAAGGAGGATCTATATGAACTGTGCTACCCTAAGAAATCATATGCCACAGCGGCCAAGGCTCCTGTCGCACCTGAAGCGTCCTTAGATCATATGACTGGAACCCAACTCATTAAACTACTTACATCGTTCGGGCTGTCGGTTGCACCGGCGTCCCAGGTGCACACCACCGTATCGGCAACGTCATCGTCCCCCGTGTCGTTGGCACCCCGCGCCCCTTCTCAGGCACAGGCCAGCTCGCCAGTTGTCACCTCGCCGTCTCGCCCTTCCCCGGTGCCGGAGCGCCCGGTGCCCGCCATGGTGCCAGCCTCCGCGGCATCATCTGACGCGCCGACGGAGGGAGAGGGATGGACGGTCGTTCAGCGTGACCGGGTCCTGCGGACTTCGCCGGCCTCACCATCCGGCACCCAGTTGCCGTCGTCTCCAGTGACACCCGTTGCGAGCACTTCTGGAAGAGCGCTTGAAACCCTAGAGCGCCAAGAGCCACACAGGCGCGCCCGTGAGGCTAGAAGGCGCACCTGGCTGAGCAGGAGCGGGCCAAAACAGCCAACAGGCTGTCAGAAGCGGGCAGGGAGCCTGCTCCCCGGAGCAATACTCCCTCACCGCGAAGACCGATTGAGGCTCCACCTCGCCACCAGGTGGTGGGCAGGGATTCAGTGACGGCCCCTTCTCCGCCACCACCACGTACGGGATATGATGGCTCCAAGCGTGTCCCGTCTGGGCCCTTGTCCCCAAGTGACGGGGGTAGCTCAAGGTCCCGCCCCAGGCTGGGGCACCAATCTGTGGAACTGGGTTCCAGAACTGAGATATCTGGCGCTTCATCTGGAGCGGCGTAATTCTTTTAAATCCCATCTTTTTAGTGTGATATATTTTATCTTCTTTTAACGCGTCCTTTTGCAGACGTTTTACAGTGGAACTGCAGTTCTTTTGAGCCGTGTCGCGTCTTAAAGTGTGACTTTGACCCTTTTTTAGTACGCCCCTCGCAGGCGTATTGACTGTGACATTCTGCGTGCTGTGCTAGTGAGCTAGGTGTGTATTGGCTACCCTCACTCTTTAGTTTTATGACGAGTATCTTACAGCGGAACTGCAGGGGCGTGAGAACAAGTCTACACGATCTCAGAGTTATTCTGGATCAGCGCTCTCCGGCCATCGCCTGCCTGCAGGAGACCAAACTGGCACCTGGCTCTCATTTTAGTATCCCGAGCTACAGCGTAATGCGTCGGGATACGGCAGCTGGTCCAATTGCACATGGCGGAGTTCTTTTGGCTGTGCACCACAGTGTCTTTGTCCAGCGCGTCATCTTGCACTCTGACCTGCAAGCTGTTGCAGCTAAGGTACTTTTCGGGCGTCGTGCAATAACCGTCTGCTCGCTTTACTTACCTCCTGGTACTCCATTTCCGACGGCAGGTACACCTGACATGGTCGGTTGACAACGGCTCCTTTGGTAGTGATCACTAACTACCCCGTCTGGTTGAGTTGCCAGAACGGAGCAGCTCTCGGTTGCAGGCCATAACGGTGGAATCTTAAACAGGCTGACTGGGATAAATTTCAGGCACGGGTGGAAACCAGGTTGGCCTCCGCTTCGGTGGATGTGCCTGCATCGGTAGAGGAACTCACCTCCACCATCTTACGATCGGCAGAAGAAAGCATACCACGTACATTCGGTGCTCCACGTCGTCCCCCTGTTCCGTGGTGAACGGACTAGTGCCGCAACGCTATACCTTTGCGTAAAAAAGCCCTGCGAGACTTTGATCGACACAGCAATACAGACAATTTAATCGCTTTTCGACGGGCTCGGGCGGCAGCCCGGCATACTATCTTGGAGGCTAAGCGCACGTCTTGGTGTTAATACGTGGGCCAGCTTAATTGCCAAACGCCGGCTTCGGTGGTTTGGGCGCGGGTAAAGCTTATCGCAGGCCAACACTCGTCAGTGCCGCACCCCGTGCTCCGTATGAATGGCCAGAACGTACTGGACCCATCTAAGGTGGCGAATGAAATGGCTCGTGCGTTCGCGGAGCGTTGTGGCCGCACAACTGCCGCTTC